TAGTAACAATTATTACATAACATACATTTTCTCAAAATATTAAAATATTAATTTAATAAAAATAAAATTGTTTAGAACGGAGCAAGAATGGCTCACTTAAGTGATGGGACACTACGTACTATGCAACAAAAATCGTCTGAAGTAAGCAATAAAAATATCTTTTGGGGTTATTTATTTTTACTCAAAAGCAATTGGCAATAATTATAAAATCGTCTGCAGTATTTCTCTCCAGTTTGTTTTGGAATTTTTGTGTTTTTTAGCTCTGTGCAGCCATGAATGCTAAACGAAAAGAAACTTTGCCTGGAATTCGAAAATTAGTTATTAATTTGCATATTGAACGTGGAAAATCTATTAGAGAAACTACTGAAACAGTTAACTTCAGTCATTCAACAGTTTTCAATATCATTAAACGATATAAAAAGAATCATATGATTCAGGATAAAAGAAGACCTGGCCGACCATCAAAGCTATTCAATGGAATAAAGCGAATTATCGTTCGAAATATTTAAAAAAAAATCCAAGAATGAGTGCTCCTAAAGTTGCTGCTGATTTAAAAGCATTATATGAGTAATTGTTAATTCTGAGACTATAGAAGAGTAATTCGATCTACTGGATATCACGGTAGAGCAGCCAGGAAAAAATTCTTCGTAAGTGAAATAGGAAAAACAGACTGGCTTTCGCAAAATCCAACATAAAAATAAGAATTCTGATTACTGGATTGAAGTTATATTTACTGATGAGAGTAAATTTAATATATTTGGTTCTGACGGTAGAATCGTGGTGTGGAGAAAACCCAGGGAAAGAATTTCGTAAACAGAAACTTGGTGCCAACAGTAAACATGGTGGAGGAGGAGTTATGGTATGGTGGTGTATGTTGTCCGCTGGAGTTGGTAATCTTGTTTTTATTGACAGTATAATGGATCAGTACAAGTATATATTGAAATTTTAAATCAAAATTTGAAATCTTCAGCACGAAAATTGAACCTTCATAACGATTTTAAATTCTACCAGGACAATGACCCCAAGCACACTGCTTTGAACGTTAGACTCTGGCTGCTGTATAACTGTCCTGAAATAATGAAAACACAACAATCTCCAGACTTAAATCCCATAGAGAATATTTGGCAAGAATTGGAATCAAGAATTCGCAAATACACCATTTCTTCAAAACAACAATTAAAATCGATGCTTCAAGAAGAATGGTGTAAAATCACTCCAGAAATCACAAAAAAATTTGTCGAACCCATCCCAAGAAGATTAAATCGTGTTTTAAAAGTAAAAGGAAATCCAACAAAATATTAAAACCTTTTAAAAAGTAAAATTTTTGGATAAATATTTGATGGAAAAGTAAGTGTCCCATCACTTATGTGGGTCAGTTTTTGCTCTCGTTCTGAAGAATTGTATTTTTATTAAATTAATATTTTAATATTTTGAGAAAATGTATGTTATGTAATAATTGTTACTAAGTTTAAGTATGAAACACACCCACAAAAAATTTTACAAGTTTTATAAATTTATTTTATTGCAGTTTCCTTTTGTAAAGCACAAGTGTCCCATCACTTTTGTGAGACACTGTATAGAACTACCCCTTTTTTGCGCAGTGTTCATCTGAAGCGGAATTAAAACTTTATTAAATCTTAAATAAACTTAATAAAAAGAAATGAGCACGAAATACACCGCGCTGGAAGAGTAAAAGATAAGTCATCACAATGAACAAAAAGAAGTGTGAAACGTATCAGGTGAAAGAAATGAGTGTAAACATGTAAAATGTTTACTATATTAAGTCACATGCTGTTATAACGTGTAATAACTTTCCATAGCATTTAATAATTTTTAATAAAATATGAATGTCCTGATGTAGTATGCGGTCTACCATTTTTAGTTAGTTATTTACTTTTTAGATGGCACCACTAAAGCGTTATTTTTAAATATCAGATTTTAATTATTAAATTAAATTTCATAACATTTATATTATGTAATTTTTAAGTGGAACTCAGTTGATTTAAACAGTTAAGTAAAATTTTAGAGTAAAAATCAGCATTTAGAGCATTAAAAAGAATAGCTACTTAGGAAGTTTGAAATATATAAAAGCAAGCAAATTAAGAATTTCCTTCAAATAAATGTATTTTACAGCAAAATAAGTAAATCTATTTACTAAGACAACTTAATATATAAATCTTTACAACTAGTGAAAGTTCTGGATTTATTTAGATTATTTGCTTGAAATGAAACACACTAAGTTTATCTACTAATCAAAAGAGACTTTTCCTTGAAGTTTTTTTAAGGTAAACTGGCCCATGTTTACGTTGCATTTGAAGAAGATCATAAAATCTTCACGCAGCCGCTTTTTCAACCGACTGTTAACCTCTTAATGCACTCAACCAAGTAAATCGGGTACACAGAATTAAATTATTTCCATGCCTCCGAATAAATACGTTCACGAATATTTTTATAGTTCTGAATATAACAGAATATATTCGCTACACTTTTGAGTTACTTAAACAATGAAGACTTCTTTTATGACTTTTACAAAGGTCATAAAATCGAGTATGAAGTAGTTATTTGTAAAATCAAGTATGAAATTTTCAGGTAAAATTTTTATGTACATATTTAAGAAATGAATACTAAATTAATACTTGAACACTAGTTCCCATCACTAGATTTCCCTTAAAAGTTGTTGCCTTTTCCATATTACATGGAACAATGGCTGTCAGAGCCTATTTCGAAGAGAGGTTGGACTTCTATTTTCCATCCCCAATTTTGGGGAAGAGTTACCCGGGGGGATCAGGGATCTCCCACCCTTCTCCCCTTTCACTAGTCCACACGAGAAGACTTTTGGTTGGACGTATACTTAGAGTGCCGCCATGCCGCACCGACACTATATATTTACAAACATTCATGTATTCACCGGGATTCAAACCCAGGCTTTTCGGCACCGTAATCTCTAACCACTATACCGTCTGGGAGACTCCCTTAAAATTATCATAGATATTTGCAAGTAATATTTCAAAAGAGGAACAAAACTGATACTACCCATAAAAATATGATATGAAAATAAGGGATCAAAAGACGCCTTAAATGTATATATACGTATTAAAACCATTTATACTTTGCTCATAAGAAATAACTGTCTCATGAAAACTTGTTCACGGGAATTTAACTAATTTATGTCACTCACTTTGCTCTAAGCATATTTCGAGAACTTTTATTCTACACTCATGTCCATAAATTAAGGATAATTCGGGAGTCACGCGGAAATCGAACTCTAAAACAAATATATCACCTGTTAAATCACTACACACATCTTCAAGAATTCATATGCAAATTTCAGGAAGTAACCAGATGACACCGATGGTACGTCACAATGACGAGAGTGTAAGAGAGTGATATAACGGAATACAGGCAAAAGAAGTAAAATTGTTCGCAGGCGCTTTTATAAGCAATTCAGTGCAATAACCGAATAGTTATGACACAAAGACGCATTTGGATGATTTTTTACGTGGAGAATTATCGGCCGTCTGAAATGTTGACGTACTCAACTGGAATTATCAGACGAACTTGGAATTGCCCAGAGTGTCATCTCCAGGCTTCGACAACGATTCCAAGATGATGCTAATGTGAGTAGACGTTACAGCACAGGTCGCCCCAGAGTTACAACGCCGAATGAGGATCGGTATTTGGCAGTTACTGCCAAAAGAAACAGGCGGAGCACAGCCTCAGACCTGTCTCGTCAGCTCTCTTCAGCCACTGGTACGACAATTTCAAGGCAAAACGTGTACAGACGCTTAGGGCAGATTGGTCTATATGATCGTAGACCTGTCAGATGCGTTCCACTCACTGCAACTCACTGTCGCCTGCGGTTAGCCTGAAGTAGAGAGCATGCATTGTGGACACAGCAACAGTGGGCTTATGTGATGTTTTTCGACGAGTCCAGGTTTAGCTTGCAGTCTGATTCTCGCCGGACTTTCACATGGAGAGCTCCAGGTACCCGTTACCACCAAGAAAACATCATTGAACGACACCGTTACGGTGGTGCAGGAGTGCTCGTTTGGGGTGGAATTATTCTGGGTTCCAGAACTGACCTGCATGTTCAAATGGGAAGCATGACAAGCCAAATCTATCGGGACGTCATTCTGGAACAACATGTACGTTTGTTTCGGGGCGCCATGGGCGCACAATTTGTTTTTATGGATGACAACGCCCGTCCTCACCGTGCAAACATCGTAAGCGAATGCCTTCAATCGGAGGATATCACCCGTATGAACTAGCCAGCATTCTCACCGGACTTGAATCCAGTAGAGCACGTGTGGGACATGCTTGGCCGACGAGTTGCAGCCCGTCAATTCCTCCTACATGTCTACCGGAACTTCGGAGAGCATTGCTTTTTGAGTGGTGTAATATCCCCCAAGATCAGATCGATAATTTGATACTCAGCATGCCTAGGCGTTGTACGGACTGTATTGCATCGTCTGGGAGACATACAGTGTATTAACAATCATATCAACCATGTAATATTGGTTTTTGTAAATAGGTTTTTTTTTTGTAATTTGCTCCAGGGAGAAAAAATCGCTAATTTTTTTAATAATATCAAACATATAGCATCTTTTTTTGCTCTTTACCTTTTGTTTAAGAAATAAGCTTTACAAAGAAGTCAAATTTGTTTTGCTTCTGCTCTTCCTTTGCCTGATTTTGCATTATCCTTAATTTATGGACATGAGTGTATTTTATATATTGATCAGATTTGGGATGCCTTTTCATGTTGCTAAACCGTCCTAAAGGTCGCCTAAACCATCAGAATACTGTAGTCAGCATCGCCTGTTTTGATATGGCGATTTATCTGCTACGAATCGTTATTACGCAGATTCAGCTACTGTGATAGTGAAAAAAAAAAGAGTAGAGATACTACACTTTGATCTTAGCCAAAAGGTCGAGAAGCGAAAGAAGAAAAGGCTTTATGCATCTGTAGAGAGCAATGGAAGTAGCGATTAGCAAAGCGAAACTGCAGATGCTATATCACATTGCTGTGATAAGTGTTATATGCTGACAGCACTCAGCACGCAATTATTTATTGTAAAAATTACTATAGGGCCAGAGGCACTATGCTAGAGAAGTTGAAACTGGGAGACATAGATCTAATGGCTGTCTCTTGGTTCACTGCAATAAGAATCCTTGGAGATATGGATTCCTGAGAAATTTTATCACCAACTACATTCTGAAGAATTTATAAAAGGTTTTAATTAAAGGATAGTGACTATTACTGAATACTGAAATGACGTTCTCTCTGGGGTAGTGTGAATGTGTCCTCAATTTTATTGGAAGTAGCACTGTGCATGCGTAGGAGCACAAGGTACCGAAGGGAAACACAGGCTTCATAAGGCATAAAAAGAAGAAGAATCGTTATTTAACCAAATTTTTTTTAAATATCATGATATCAAATTTAACCATCTGAGCGGCATGATCGACTTAATCCGGTCATGAGATTTATTGTCACTTGAAACATATTAGCCTATAATTTAAGATATTTTTCTTTCTTGCTTTCTCTAATAATAAAAATGTAATCTTAATGAATGTAAGTTTATGAAAATAGAGGCTAAAATAAGTAATTATATAAGTTTAGCTGATAAAGGTTGCATATTGGCAAATTCTGCTTCCAGTCCTTGTAATTAAATGCTATATTTACATTTTAATTCGCTTATGATAATATTCATTCATTTTTTGTTTTGTGGTAAGAATTAAAGAAATTTTAATAAATTGTTAAGAATAAACGGTTTTAAAAATATCATTTTGTTTTCATAATTCCTGTATAACAAAGCAAAATTTTGGGTTATACGCATACCAATGAAAATAAAGCTTACTCCTAGGAAAGAAACCAATGATGTGAACTTTATCAGTCGGCCATTGAGTAATAAAGCGTATAATATAGAATTTCTTTACCTGAAGGGAGAAGTACACTGTTGTCCTCAAAATGCTAAACTATTCATTTAAGTTCATTATATAATCACAAAATTTCTAAATTATATCGATAAAAATTTCGTGTAATGAGAAACTTGCATGCTACTGTAAATAATAATGGAAATTATCTTATTTAGCATTAAGGCTTTGAGGATGCTTATCATCCTCAGAAAGTAACGATTCTTTTCTTAAACAAATGTTTTGCAGAAAATTAGACCACACTTCGGTAATCTTAATATCTTCGAATACACTGGCAATAAATTCTGTAGTTCCTTTCATGAGCTCTTCATCGTGATATTTATCAGCTAAAATGAGCATATCAATAGCTGTCGAAGTAGACAAGGAAGAAATAATAAATTCTCGGCACATATTTTTAAGATCCAATATAGCGTACTTGTCGCCAGCACAATACATATCACAAGCCATTGATTGAGAACGCAGATTTATTTCACCAGTGTAGATGAACTGAAGCATCTCCTTTAAGACTTGGAGATCGACTTCTGTGACGATAATTTTACTCTCAACGTTTCCGGTCATCACATCGTCGAACATCTGAGCGAATACTGGTGATCTGGCCGCAAGTATGCACTTGTGAACACGGATTTCGATGTCGTTGCAGAGAAGAATGGAATCGGAGTGTTTACGATTTTCAAACATTGCCTGCATATCGCGGCAGACACCAAAGATACTTTTCATGTCCAGTGCAGACATTGGCGTCAAACTGTTAGGACTTTGGAGATCTCTGTATGTTTGCACTGATTTTTCCGTTTCTTCCGATAACTTTGCTACACATATATAGCATGATACATCCGCTGTTCTTTGGCTTAACATCAGCATATCAAGAGAAAGAATTTCCTCGTGTTTAATGTCTTCGTTTATAGTAAAGTCCAGCATTCTGCTGATTTCTTTAAACATATAAGTGTGATATTTAATCGTAATTCTTCCTTTTATTTGAAGTTTATTACCACATGATTCCCTATAAAACTGGAAACTGGCACTAGGGTGGTGATAATTAAAGACTAAGCACCATTTTTCATAAGATCCGAATACTTTACTACGAATTTCAGCACGGTTTTCGAATTCCAATTTCCATTCGAAGTATGAATCCTCACACACCATATTGTTCGAATACATTTCCTTTGTTTTAAAAGAAAATGAAATATACTTTTATGATACTACCTACTAGTTTTTCAAATCAGCTGTGAAGAACAAAATAGCGATAAAATTATATGCTTACTCCAGATAATAAATGAAGGGAGATAAGCATATGGCATTCTTCTGTTATCGCGTATCTTTCTACCACTACATTAATCTGTACTTTGCAGTACGAATAATCAGAATCTAAACAGTAATTGTTATGTGGTATCTCCTGCTAATTATTGTTAATATTTTGGATCACATGAAGAATAAAAGAGTATCATATAACAAGCATGGTGCAAAACAAATGATCAAGAAATGTAACATTTGCATTTGCATCCTCAGTTATATTTTCTTTTTAAACTAATTTGATTTCAGCATTCATTTATGGTGGAGTGTAATCATTCGGTAATGCGCTACTTATTCTGGAATCCTATGACGAAATACAATATTTTTAAAAGTAATATTTCAAGAAGCATTGAATTTTGATAGCTATAAATTTAAAAATATGACATGGACTTGAAACCAGGATTTTTTGCCGTTTCTACGGATCGCAACTCGCCTCGGTTAATTTTCAGATAGAAATCGAGACTCATATTAAATGATCTTAGAGACGTAATATACTAGAAGACAACGATTTTAGCTGTTCAATCTAACCTAATCGCCTTTCTTTCAAATGGAATACAATATCTTGAATTAAATATTCAATGTACGTTACTTAATGTCAATTACGTTACAATTATGGAATTAAAATAAGTATTGTCTGTAAATATTGAAACAGTTTATTCATTTTGTATTCATTAAAATGTTTTCATTTTTTAATAAAACCTCTGATTTCTTTTTAAGCTTTTGTTAGAACAGAAATTCATACATTCTATACAGCCGACCGTGAATGCTGGCTACCATTGAGGCATGGAGAGAAAATCCTGCCACTGTTGCGCCAATCGTTCCGTTCTTTCTGCAAAATTCTGAGCTGCTTTCAAGCCAAGAATCTGAACTGCTTCTTTGCTTCAATCTTTAATTCACAATACAATAAAACAATAATACAATAAAACATTCATCAATTAAATAAACAATTCAATAAAACATTCAACAATTTAATAAATAAAATTCAAATTTAATACAATAAAACATTCAACAATTTAATATAATAAAACATTCATCAATATCTTTGCTCAGTCCACCAAATCGCCACTGCTGCAAAAATATTCGAGGCACCCCACTATTTTTTAGTTTCGTAAAATACTTTTCGTAAAATACCCGCTAATAAGTTTACAAATATTATTTTGTCGGCCATATTCAGCAGATCTTTTCCCCTTTCAACATATGCTAATTTTCTCGAGCAGCTGTAAATGAACCTGTAAATGCAGCTGTAAATTTAAAATGCGATTTTACAGCCCTTGAGCTCAATTTTATTTAATTCAAGAAGAAAAAATAACAGCAGTAACAATATCCTTGTTTAAAACAAAAGGTGGCTTACTGAGAATCAATTGGGGTTACATCAAACGAAAGTGCAGATGTTATGTGTTCTGTAATCACGCTTATCCATCATTGGCGCTAATTCGAGCGGATTGGTGAAAGTTTCACAGTCGGTGGGATAATACACGTTAAGTACCGAAAAATTATGTTATGAACAGTTAAAATATTATGATATGATTTATGGGAACTTATTAGGGAAAATATCAAATGCATATTAGGGGGAAATATCAAATGCAAATCGAGCATCTTCAAATGAATCCCTCGTCGAATTCGCCTTGTTGTGATCCTTAAGATTTCTTTAAATTTAGGGCAGTTTGTATTGTTATTGTAGTTGTATTGTATTGTCACAGCTGATCATTAACGGCAAGAAAGGCCATGTAATCTATATTATTACAAATTTGTTTGTTTGCAGCATTATCTCTTTCGAAACGGCAGGGAGTTGAGATTCGAGAGAGGTACCCTCGGATTTCAAGCCATTTGACCATTTTCATCTTCGCACGACTTTAATCAGTCTGGATATTAATTAAAAACTCTAAAAATGCAAATTTTTGCACTCATTTTTCCGAGTGGTAATAGTCTCGCACGCTGCAGAGAAAAATCTGCTTTATTTCTAAAAGCGTTGCCACTGTTCGCTTTCAAATCGTAAATGTAATACAGAAGTTTGTTATTACAGAATTTGTAAGTTTTACAAAATATGAAATAAAAATAAATAGCATTGCCAAACATTAGACATATTACTATTATATAAGGTCATGTTCTGACGTTGAAGAAAGCAAGCGATTTCATGTGACGTCATTGTATGTCGAAAATGTTTCGTTAATGTCAGCATCTTAAATAAGTAGCTGCTATTGGTAAATTTTTTTTCAGGTTAGGATAACTGACACGGTATATTAATGCTCTGTTAATTCTTTGAGAAAAATTGTTATATTACATTACATTTAAATCATCAAATTATACGTATACGTATTAACCTCAAGTGCAAAAGTTTTCGTTCCCTGGTTTGGCAACAAAAATTTATTTACTAATTGGTTGTTGCTTGAAGAATGAACTAACTTCATTCATACTGAAATGTTTTTACGCTCTCAAATGTACAGAGAACTCATAAATTTTGCTTTGGTCGCAGCTAGCAACTTTGTATACTGCACATTAAATTAATAGTTCATTTTATTTTCAGTTTTTCAGTACATTGAACTTACAAATATCTCTTTGGACGTAGTACGCTCATCTGGCGGGCTTATCCGGTAGTTTTTTTTTAACTTCTGAGACATAACAGAGTGGTGATTAGAATCAGTCAGCTTATTTAGTAATACTTTTGCAGCGGTGAGAACGTTTTTTACTTCTTTGTACGAAGTAAAAAGGAAGTATTGTAATCGTGAAAAGTTTCAGGCAGCATATTTCAACGAAAATATCCATTTTGACCGCTATCGAATGAAATTTAACGATGTTTTTGCGTGGTATCTGTACGTAAGGACAGAATAAAAGACTCTTTTCCTCCAAAGAAATTATAAAACTGCTTTAAAATGGATTCTGAAGAGAATTTTTCGTGGCATCTGTACGAACGCATGTGCATACGTACGCACGTACGTATCTCTCGCATAACTCAAAAACACGAGTAGCCTCAGAACGTTTAAAAAATTTTGTATATAGGACTGCTATAACATGTAGATGCGCACCTCGTATTTTGGATTGCAATCGGCCGCACCAAACGTATATAAATATATTATATATATATTTATCCATTCTGTTACTCGGCTCAGTGATCTCAGTTTCTTTACTGTTATATGTTTGTAAATTGTACATTTTTTTTCTTTAAAAACGATTGAATTATGTTGTTCTTACCTTTCGGTTAAGGTTTTTTTATGGTTAAGGTTTTTATACCTTAGTAAATCTGTATGCAATATTTTTTAGAATTATCAACAATTTTTAAAGTTGTTTAAGTGCCGCTAAGCCTAATAATGTTTTGATGGCGGCCATTGCTTGTTTACATTTGAAACAGTAGAATAGTGGATTTGTTGCCAATCTAGAGAAACCTAGCTTCGCAATAAGAAAGATAACGCCTTCATTTACTATTGCTATTTTAAATCATGCTTAACCCCCTTTCTGGAATTTTTTCGAGGAAATAAATGTTTAAGATTTACTTCGTAATTTTTAATACAGATATTTTGAGTTTTTATGTATTTTTTGCCTTGTCGCGAAATGGAGAACTGAATTAATTGAATGAGAAGTACTCAATCGTCTGTGAAAAACTGTTTCTTTCTTTTTTGTTTAGTTTGCTTAATTTCTTTTATACATCATTCTAGCTTTATTATACTGTTTGAATAGAACATGTGGCAATGATTAAATAATTCTTTAAATGATATGAATTTTGTGCATTTTGAGATATAAATTAGATGTAACGCTGTTAAGTGAACCTAGAGCCAGAATGTCGCTATGGTAAACAAATATAGTGAATTTTAAAGAATGCATTTACTTTTTTCGTTTATGCGCTGCCGGCGAAGTAGATTTAGTTCAATCCAATACGTTTAAATGAAATGCAAGAAAAAATGCGTATAATTTAATATTCCGTACAAGGAAGTAATGTGATTTACACATCAGATTTTTTTTATAAGGTAATAGAGTACTATCATTGGCAAACTAAATCTGCGTTGTTTATTGTTATGAGGCTGCATGTATCCAAGAGAATATCCACGCTCAATGGTATCTCATTTGCAAGTCGAACAAGTACTTTTTTGTCAGGTAATCTCTTAGAATAATGTTATTTATTTAATTGATATTAGATTTTAATAACGCTGTTTTATCTAGCAAAAAGTAATTATTTGTGCTTAAATGTGATTTTTTTTAATAAAATATGTATTTTAACCTTAATTATTTTTATTGCATAATGCCTATTTATAAATTAATTTACATTTATAGCACTCAAATTGGAATTCGAAACTTGAAATTTCAATTCTGTTTCGTAGGCCCAAGTAATACCTGCCATTGAATCCTGTTGATCAGTGTTACGAAGCGAATAACGATATCTAATGCGTAGTTCGAAAGGCTAGTAATAACTTGACTATTCTTGTTCGAACTATATTTTGTTTAAACGAGTTTGCATCAGTGGTAAATTTGATCTTGATTTGGATACAAAATATTCATGACGATATCTTTCATTTATATTTAATGAAAACACCAAAAATATATCACAGCAATACACATACATCGCAATGGCGAACCACAGTTACATAATGTAAAAAGCAGAATTCTTTTGGCGCAACAGCGCCCTCTATCCTATGAAAAGTTCCAACAATCAGTGTTATTTTTTAGACTCGGAAAGAAAAAGCTATTTAAAACAGCTTGTGACAATTCGAAGTCTAATGTTCGCACGATTGCAAGACTTAGAAGAGGGGGGAGGAGTGCTAGTTCAAAGAGCCCCATGAAACAGGAAGTGAGGAGTGATGACGTGCCATGTTGACCCTGACTGCAAAGACACAATTCGCATCAAAGAAATAAACGTTTTAAATTTGAAAAAATAGCCTTAGAAACTGTGCGTGAAAAAATAGCTTTA